AATTTTACTTCATAAATATCCTATATAGTAACTAAAATAACAATTTAATAGTAAAATTTGATTATTTACAATGTTAACATTCATTTTAGTAGAATGGGTAGACTCGCCCCATACGAGAGATTTGTCAGCAGTTCTATAAAAATATACAGTAACAGCGTAACTGTTAATATTTTCTAAAATCGATTTCACAGCTTTAAAGAGGGATAAATAGCGATTCCGAAACACCTATTAAAAGCCTTTTTTCTTTAATATTTACAAAAGTTTGGCCACTTGAAAGTTGACAAACTGAAAAAATGGGTAGACTCGCCCCGGTTTACGGTAGTTAAAATTCCAAGATTAGTAATTTAAATAATAATAGTATCATTAAAATTTTTTAGCTTTCCATTAAAGATTAAAATTTAAATTATCAATACAGTTTACATACAAAATTTTCAATTCGAAATTTCTTTAAATTCATATTAAATTTAAAAAAATCACTTGTGGGTCTAATACATACTTTAATTAACCTAGCACTGTTTTCTCTAACTGCTCAAATAAAATTATTAACAATGTTATTTAAGAAGGTTTTATTTTTTAATTATCACAGAAATCTACCTACATCAGATTTTATTTGACAAAATTCCATTACAAAAATAATTCCATTGCGAGTTTTAATTTCCTAAACTAAAATGTGTACTTTTGAGTTATTACAATGAATATAAAAATTAGATTAGTTGCGATTGGTGGGAAATTATAATTATTATTTGTTTTTTTGATAATTTCCTTTACAATGCAAAACTTAACTTTGTTCAAATAAATGGAATTCCACAATGATATAATTTTCTAATTAATCACTTCTAGCTAACTTATTTTTACAATTTTATAAAAAAAATTATACTCTTAATATTATCTTTAATTATTCAATTATCATCAATTCAATTATTTTTAATTTTTAATATTATAAAATTTTGTTAAATAATACTTACCCCGAGTAAATAATATTATTTCTTTATCATTAAGATAATATTAATTTCTGTTTCTTGGAATGAAGCATTAAAAACGAAGAAAATATCTGCATTTTTGATGTATACGATAAAAAGATGATTTTAAATTTAATATAAATGAACTAATTCAATTTTCTTAAAAAGTTTTTTAAATTGTTAATCTTATTAATTTTAATCAAAACAATAGAATTAAAAACAATTAAGTACTTATTTATCCAAAAGTCAAATAGTAAAACTCTTCCAAAATTTAATGAGAAAAAATAAATATCCAATATCGTAATTAAATCCTATAAATAATCATTGAGTTAATCATATGTTATAAAAGATAATAACTTTATTAAAAAATCCTTTGTTAACGATATATTTATTTTCGACATGCGCAAACCCGATTTGGGCAAATTAGTGGTGATAAATGTCCTAATAAGAATTTTTAATTTAATTACAAATTAAGAAAGAATTATTTTTTTCGAAATATAATTTCTCCAAAAATCATCAAAATTAAAATTTCTTAGAATAAAAATTCAATCTTTGATTATTATAGGAAGAGGAAAATGTCAATTCGCCCAATGTCTGACTAAACTGTTTCGTAGTTATGGCAGGGATAATTTGTGAAGGCAGTAGTATTAACTTGTTAAGTCTGCAAAAATTTTTGGTTAGAAAGTTGAGTATAGAATGATATACTCAAAGAAATACCATGGTAAAAAAATTGTCCTGCATTTTCTAAATTTTTTGAAGAAAAATATATAGGTAATATTAAAAAAAAAAATTGTCCTACCGTACCAAACTCTAAAGTCTGAACTTGCGTTTCCTCTGAAGGTGGTCCAGCGCCTTTATTATTGAAAGCTTGAACTATAACCCGGTATTTTGTATTTTTTGATAGATCTGTTATTTCACATTCCAACGCTGTTCCGATTGATGTTTCCAATGTTTTGTATGCAAACTGGTCACTATTTCTGCCTTTGTATCCAACGTAATATCCATCGATTGGGGACAAGGTATCTTCCTTCAATGGAGGCTGAATTTAAACATAGTTAGTGTAAGTAAAAATAAATAAAATATTTTCCTATGTATTAAAAGACATTAAATACTAATATGGTGAATGCATATAGTTGTTATGCACTAAAAAACAATAAACGCATCTATTATAGAACTAAATATTTTTAAATAGTATGAGCTATATTTTTTCGTTTAAAAATAATATTTAAAAAAGAAGAATAAAGAGATTAAATTCAAGATCGATCCAAGGAAAAACAATAATACTCACCAAATGATAAATTTTAAGCATTAAATTGATTATAATTGAAATAATTTACAAAATTACGGAACTATTTAAAAAATAATATATTTTACTATCTACCATATCACACGCATTTGTATTACGTAAGAAACAACGCAATAAGAAGGGAGAGTTGAATAAAAGGTGGATAAAACCAGAATCAGCCATTTGAACCTCTGCAGCAATTTGTAAAAAGACACATGAAACTAGTTGCAGACATTCGGTTTGCTATTTAAAAATGAAAACAAAATATAGTTATTTTTTAACGCCAACGTTCAAATGATTTTTTTCAAAAGCTTATAATTTGAAAACCGTCTATTTTATTCTTTTTTTTTTTCGAAAAACTAAGAGACTTATTTTCGGTAAGTTAAATATTTGTTAGCTATTCTTTTAGCTCAATAAAACAAGTTTTTAATCTGTGTTTCTGCTTTTTCTTAAATAGTGTTATGGATTGAAACTAGTACGCTCTTATTTGGATGAAATCGGGTGGTAAAAAAGTCTATAAAATACGTGTTTTGTCAAGATCAAAGGAATGTGGAATACATCAAGGAAAAAATTATGATTTTAATTCGTAAATTTGATCAAATAGCTTAATTTACTAAATGTCTCAGATGTATTAAATTAGAAATTACTCATTCTCCTTGTGTTAAAAACCCTTGTTTCTTTGTGCAGAAATGTCACTGCGTTAATTTAATGCTATAAACAAGTATTACGTTGGGAATAGCTAGACTGCGCTTTATTCATTATTTCAATATATACCAATACAAAAATAATTTTTTTGTTTATTGCTAATGAAATTTTGTTTAAAAAATATGATGAAAATATTAACACAAGTTTAAACATAGGAAACAAATGTGAGAAAATTGAAAAAAAGTAAAATTTAACCATTTCAAAATTTTTTAATAAATAGCTTTTATAATTTTTTCTTCGTGTTTTTCTTTACATTGGACATTGGTTGTAAATCGTTTTTCGAGTATCTCTGCCTTTAAAAAATCATTAATCTCGCGAAATAAATGCATGCTATAATTTGTATATAATACTTGTTTTATAGCCTTGTATAACATTCTATGATGCGGATATTGCTCGTACATTTTCGCAATTTTTCTTAGGAGTTTAAAGAGTGAATTTTATATTCAATTCCAGGAGCCTTTCAAAATTTACCCAGCATTGTAGATAATATTTTGATAAATGCTTTAACTGATAATTTGTCATATGGTCATGCTTCGGAAGTATATTTTGCACTTACAGTTATTTAATTACAGGAACGGGACTTTGAGCCATTTAAAATTTTTTTCAAGATACAACTATACAAAATTATTTTGATATACAATGTGATCCATTCCGGATCAAATAACGGTATTAAATATTGGCATTTCGAGTGCAGCATCCATGAAATTCATTTTATCGTAAAGTATGATATTGTAATTTTTATATTAGTTTTCATTTAAATTGAGCGATTCAGAGATTTTACGCTGATTATTACTGTAAAAATTACGGTGTATCAGATTTCTTTTCTTCTTGCTTCTCAGATTTGTACTGGTGAAAATGGACTTTACTGTAAAAAAATACTGAAACCTTAAGGTACCGGTACTTTTTACCGTAATTTGATTCGGAATTTTTTACAGTGTTCTTGAGTGGAAATTAGGATTTAAGTTAGAATACCAATATCAACTACGTTGGTAGTGACATTACTCTAAAATATAACTACCCTCTGAAATATATGATGGTGTATTTCATAATAGGATTTTCATAAATATATAAATAATGTTTTTGTTAGAACTAAAGGATTTTTTCATAATTAAAAAACAATTAAGAAATTTTCTACTCGTAGCTGCCAAATTTAAAAAGAGAAAATTTAATGACATGGTTTTATCCAGCTTATTACTTGAACTATTAATATCAGCTAAATTTGGCATTTAAAGCTACAATTATTTTTAAAAAATGCAAACACAATTTTAACTTTTGTTCAATCCCCTAAAAATATGAGTAACATTTATTTGATATGAAAATTATTAACTTTATAACATTTCAATTATTCATTAAATAGAAAATTTTCCTTTACCTTCCAGGTTACGTGTATGGTTCGTGAATTTGTCGCAACGGCGCGAAGATCTCTTGGTGGACCGCTTGGAGCTGTATAAAACAGAGAAAAAATTTTCATTTTAGAAACTCCCTAAAACAGCATTACATTTTATTTTATAAGAAGTATCAAAAATAAGTCTTTTAAAACTTATTTTTCTTCTCAAATCACAAAATTTTGTAAAAAAATTACAAAAAAATTTTTTCTCAAAAGAAAATGGTTTATGAAATTTAAAATGGCATGGTGGACATACAATTATTATTTTTAATTAATATTCATAACTGTTTCTTTGGCGTGTTACACACTTTATATAACTTGTGGTTTACATCAATGCTGCTTACATAAATGCAAATTGGAATGCCTTTGCTGAATATTTTATATGAAACTGGTTTGACTAGTGCTAATTAAGTGGACTCATTTCCCAGTATTTTTTTGAAAATCAACCCTAAGGATGTCCCCTAAATTGAAAACAATAACTTATTTGCGCAACTCTAGTGAGACGGAAGCAATAAAATGAAACATTATTTTAAGAATTGCGTTGCTTTAACACTAATCTCTTACAACTTGTGTCAGTTTTAAAGCTATATAGCGTCAACAATATCTACAAAATTAATTTCGTATACGCATAACCTAAAATAAAGCAAAATAATCTAGTTTCAGTATTATACCCATAAATATACCAATTCAGTTTTAAAACTTTTAATTCGATATTATTTTTTACGTTACAATTTTTAAATTTAAATTCAAATTCTTCCGATTTATAAGAGATAAATGTGTTCAAAATAAAGTAAGTTTTTTTTATCGTTTTTAAATAATACGAAAAAACCTCTATCCTGTTTATAAAAACAAATCTAGAGAACGGAAAGAAATCTTTCGAAAATATGTTTCTTTTTTCTTTTTGACTAAATACTATAGATGATATTCAACAGATTGTTGAATAATTAATTAAGCAGTTTAAGGCTTCATTCTGTTCACATTCTTTGAATAAAATTGCATTAATTTAAAAAAAAAACATAAAAGCTTCCAGTATGTTGGTAAAAATTTTCCAATTTTATTTTTCTGTCAGCTTTGAAAATATACGTTAGTTTTCTTTTCTTTATTTTGATAATTGAATTTTTTTTCATTTTATGAAAGAAAATTTCTGAAGGCGCAAGAAAATAAATCTCGGTTCACTTTTATACCCTTTGAATTTTTTTTATTTCGTTAGATTTTTTACTTTTAGAGAATTTCTTATTTCCTTCTATTTTTTGTTTTGCCTTTGCTGTTACTAAACAAACTTCCTTTTTATATATATTTTTTATTTTATACCAAATTGCTAATTTTAACTTTCAAGTTTAATTTTGACAATAAAGCTTCTAGTAAATATGTTATAAGTCCATTTAGGGAGTATTAAAGTATATTAAAATTAGACATTTGCTGTGCGTGGCAATTGTTTTTCAATAGTTTTTGAGCACGCATTTAATCATTTTTGTCCTTTTTTATGTAAATAAAAAACCTTAATAATAAAATTATCCGTATATCATTCACTAGTCAAAATTTGTTGTTTATGACTCTGTAGTTACAATTTGTAGCAATATAAATTAATATTTTTTTTGTATTAAGATCATTTATTTATTTCAATATTATTCCAAATATGTCCATACGCATGATGTGGACACATAAACTTTTAAAAGTTAACAATGCATTCTGAAATTCAGATTTAATCAATTTATAAAACATTCTGAACACTCAATTTATTCGTATTAATTAATTCATCTATCAAGAGGTGCGTTTATTCACTTTATATTTCAAGCATTTAATTTTTACTTTAGTAAGATAAAATTTTAAATTTCTTTTGATAAACTTTTTTAAAATATTATTTATATAGTTTCTCCTACCAATTACAAATGCAAGGCAACATTAATATGTTTAATATATACAATGTGCTTAGGCTCATGGAAATAGGAACCTTTAGAATTTTGGGAAATTTTCTTTTTTAGCTAGTTTTCACAGAAAATATTATTTTGAACATATTTTCGGTATATAGTTTTATGTTATATGCAATAATAAAAATTAAGCACTCATATACATTAAATGTTTACGAATTTCTATATCAGGAAGACGTATAGAAAATTTTTATGTTTTCAAAATATTTCTAAAGAGAAATAATTTCTTTTTCTAAAATGTTAAATAAATAATTTATAAGCTTTTATAAAATTTGCTTATTGTCATGAACTTAATAAGACATTGTAAATGGAATTCTAGTTTAGAGTAAGAGGATTAAAATGTAGGAAAAAGACTTATACGGAAAAAAATATTCGCAAAATATGTTTGAACCGAAGAAGGTATAATTATTAAGAATGGATAAGAGTAGATTATTAAAGAATAAGTGTTCTATTGCAATGATAAGAATATTTTAAGCGCCAACATTGCGCAAAAGATATATTTATTATAAATTTTAAAAAAAATAACTCAATGGAAAAAAATCTAGTAAAATTGCTTTACTGCATAGTAATAATATTTCTGTTAAATAAATAAATAAAATCAAAATATATTGTATTCAAATCAGTAAAATTAGCCGAATAAATGTTAAAAATTTAAAATAAAAGCAAATTTTATTTCGTTCTTTAGAGTATAATGATAAAAGTTTCAAATTTTACCACATGACCAAATTTTGTCACATATTATAAAATCATATTTTGTTGTTAATTCTTTCAAATTCATTACAAAAGAGTGTCACTAAAAATTGCCGATTTTTTTGTGCTTCCATCGAACCAGATATATAGTAAATTTTAGCGTATTATAGTAGTTTTGACCATACTTTTGGTTCAGTGTTAAATTTCATATGAGAAAATCTGCGAGTTTTTAATTGAAAAATAATATCAATTAATGGCAAATATTATATTAAAAATGATACCTATTACAATTTCATCAAAAAATAATGAAGCAGAAAAAAAACAGATATCGTAACTAGCATATTGATTTAAGAATTTGTTATATTATTTGCTAGTTTTATGAAATTTTGAATGTACACTCACAATAGTGTTATTTTTATATTGTTCAGGAACAAGGTTTAGCTTTTCAATAGCAGCTTAAATATTTTTGAAAAATCAAATGAAAATACATATAAAAAATTGGAATTAAGGAATTTTGATTTTAAACCCTCACGAAAGGCACTGGAATTCGGAACGCTTTGCGAAAGTGAATAAAAATTTGAACTCTGTGAAATTGAATTGAAAATGTATTAAAAACGTATTTATTAAAATGACTGAAATATTTATTTAATTTACATAAATTATTTGAAAATTAAGTACACTTCAGATTGAATGAATTAAAAAAAAATTTTGAGTTAGTTAAAACTGATTTCAGTTACAACTGATTTCTACTGAGTTAGTTAAAACTGATTCTAGAGTATAAAATATATAAAAAAATCTATTTTGGCAATAAGGCGGTTTGCGCATGCTGTCACTGATAAAATTAATTCAATAGTTGCAATAATAATAGCAATGAAATCAATAATGAAATATATGAAAGTTTAAAAATTATTTAATCAAATTTATATCAAAAAACCTATTCCCTTCAGCTTATTAAGTAAATTTAAAATTTTTAAGTAAAATTAGCGGTGGGAATTTAAAGGTTAAGGATAATAATAAGCTTTTTTAAATTTCTCATTTGACAAATTTTAAGCAATAGCAAGGATAAGTATGCAATATTTTATTGTAATAAAATAAAAAAAGAAAAGAAAACGTTATAATTAAACACCATAAATTTGCATTGACTATGATAAAAAATCATCATTTTCAAATATGCAACTTTTTTCCAAGGTAAGACTTTTGAAGAAAATTTAAGTGTCATGCATTATATTCGTTAAAATTAGAAAAATAATTTGCTCATAAAGTATTATCACCTTCGCCTTCAGTAACAATAGTTATAGGTTCACTAAAGTCTCCACTTCCAATGGCATTTTCTGCTTTCACTCTAACATGATATGTCATATGGGGTATAAGGCCTTGTATGGTATGTATGCTTTCAGTGCTATCAACTATACTCGTCTTTGCTAATGACCATGGTTCTGAAAAAAAATTAAAAAAAGAAAGTAATAATATTTTTTAAAAGATATCATACGGTTATAATGTATTGTTACACAAAAACTTTGAAATGATATATTGCTCTTACTTAGCATATTGAAATAACTTTTCAGTACTCAAATATACTTTTGCTTTTCATCAAACAACTAGCTGATTACCCTTTCTTCGTACGGCGTGAATAACAAAAATAAATTAATCAGTACTTGACTACACTGCGATTTGGATTCTTGAATAACGTTTCATGAGCAGTGGATTTATTAAAAATAAGTGAACTTCAGATGCCTAAACATGTCTAGTTCAGTACAAAATTTTAGAATTAAAATTCAAGGCTTAAAGCGAAAACTAAATATAAGATCCGATATCATTTGGAAATTGGATAGAACTTTGCCAGTACGGGGCAAGTTATGTTACGTCTATGTTACGCAGCTATAATTTAGTAGTTACGCAGCTATAATTTAGTAGAAGTAAACAATAGTGTATTTAAACTAACTAAATCAATCGTTAACAAAACATTTCCATAATTTAATGTAGATGGGTCAGAGCCACAAATTTTATTCTTCAAAAACTTTCATTAAATTAAGCACATTAAAAATACTTCTAAAAACGTCTAAATATTTATTTCAGAATTTCCCTAAGTAAAGAAAAATTAGTAAGATAAAATTTTGTTTCTGAATTTTTTTAGAATTCGATAATTTCATTACTTTTAATTATATATATAACTCTTGCAAACAAATGTACTTATTTCTAAGATTTTGTGGGTATTGTCTTGTGATCATAGTTTACAAAATCATGTAATTTCAGTTTCTTTCCTTTCGCACAAACTATTCTTCTTTTATTAATGTCAGCCATACCGTAAATGCTGAAAGCCTTTAGTTGCTAATTTATATATAAACATAAACTTTTAAAAGTTAAC